GGAGAACCCTGGCTCCCAGCAACATCTGTGCATTTACTACTTTGGTCCATTCTATAGAACATTGAAAATAGTTTCAGAATTGCTTTGCTCAATAACACCACAGAAAACAAGCCTACTAAAAAGTCTTTGGAATTTGTTTGCTGCTGCTTTTGCTTCAACTATGCCCAAGAATGGGTGTGAGCCATCTAACTCTGTGTTTATAAGTTATTTAATAAATTTTTTTCTCCTCTACCTCTACAGCAAGTGTGTTTAGGATGTCCATTTAACATGCAATCGAACTGATTTGCTTCAGTCTGCTTTTAGTTTTAGGTTCCCCCTTACCATCCCTATTAATTTAATTTTTCTCAGATATGTAGAACATTAATATGCTTCCAAACGTGGAAATTATGCAAAAAGCTATACTCTGGGAAGTATCACCCTCTGTCATATCTCCATTACCATCCAGTTCCTCCCTATGAAAAACAACTTTTGTGTTATCTGGTTTGTTTTTGTGAGGATAAAAGATAGCATCCTATAGATTGAGCTAGATTTTTTAGTGCCCAAATCCCATTTATCTTCCAAATCTCATATACTTGGTGGCGGCGTTCCCATTTTACTGCTGAGGAAACTGAGACTTCTTATGTGTACTGTTAAAAACCTTTGTGCCGTGTTGATATAAAATTTACCACTTTAAAGTGGTATTTATTAGAGTCATGATGTTGTGCAACCCTCACTGCTGTCTGGTTCCAAAACATTTTCATCACTCCCAAGGAAGACCCTATACCCATTAAGTAGTTCTTCAGCCTTATGCCCCTCTCCTAGCCCTTGGCAACCACTGATCTGTATTTCATCTCCAAGGATTTATCTATTTTAGATATTTCACATAAATGAAACCATACAATATGAAACATATTTTGCCTAACTTGGCTTGCTGTTTTAAAGGTTCATCTGCATTATAGTGTGTATCAGTATTGCATTTCCTTTTTACAATTGAATAATATTTCATCGTACAAATATTTTGTTTTTCCATTCATCCACTGATGGAAATCTGGGAGGGCTTTGAGTGAAGTTGGAGAGATAAGTGGTTTGTCACTTGCCCTGTGCTGTGCTGTTTATTAGTTACGTGGCTATGCACAGGCTCCTAAGCTGGCTTGTGCCTCAGTTTCTTCATTTGTTTAATGTAGATAATGATATTGGACTCTTCAAGTAGTTGAATGAATTGTATCAAATAATGCCAGAAAAGCTTATAGCATAGTACTTGGCAAATGGTGGACCCTCAATAAACAATAGCTGTTTTATTGTAGGATTGTATGAGAAAAAGGGGAAAGAAAGAACACAAATGTGTTATAGTATGTGTTTAGTGTGTGTTTGTTCTGTTGTAGCTGCTGAACAGCTTTGTTTTAAAAAAAAAAAAAAAGACATGTCTGTTGTCTCTGCTTTGTGGTTTGGTGTTTTTGGCCCCCACCCCATCACTAAACATGAAATTTTACATTTTAGAAGCAGTTCACTAGACAGAATGTCTGTAGTGGAATGTTACATAATTCACATTTAGATTTGAAGAGCTCATTATAAAAAACCTGACACACTTCAGGAATATTAAATTACTGCAGATTGTGTGAAACAAAGAAATATTATTGAAGCATTTCAAAATTCTAGGCAAGCCTGAATTTAACTGATAGGGTTTCACAGCTTTTACTGGGGAAAATGATTTGAGTTGTCACATGGTTTCTGGCCCTGGAGGACTTTAATCTCCTTAATTACAAAGAAGCGAATTTCCTAAATAATTTGGAGTTACTTCACAGCATTTGCTCAACCTCTGCCTTTTGGAAAATTAAAGTGGATGCTAGGGTCCACACTGTGGTACATTCTCTCAGCACTGTAGCTTCCTTATTTAAGTTTTTATTCAGAATAGGATGGTGGTTTTCTTTCATTATTGATACAGGGACGTACTTCAGAAATTCACAAGTAATGCTTGTAATACTTGAACATAATCATATTTTGTTGAACAAGCATCTTTGAAGATAGGAATAGGGAGATATGCTATATTGTGATTTATAAAGTTGAAGAAGAGAAAATGGCTCAAATCCAATCCAGTTTTATACACTGCTTTTAAAAAATTCTTGAAAAATGTGTAAAATCCATATATTTAAGCTCCTTCCTGAATTTATAGATTAGGCATTTACTGTGTCCAAGACCAACATACTACCATTTCCTACAATTCATCCTCAGAAAGCAAAATAAACTTGTATCAGTGTCCTCTTTTGTAAATGGGAGATGATACAGACTTCCACATACCACGAAAGCCATGTGGTCTTGAGCAAGTAGCACAGGAATCTATGTGCCTAATATTTATTAAATGCTTACCAGGAAGCATGCCAGATGCTCTTCCAATCACAATAGGTGTGTGATGACACTGAACTGCCACAGCAGCTTCCCCAGTGGGCACTATTATCTCCATTGTACAGATGAATAAACTGAGGCAAAGACAGGTTGAGTAACTTCTTCAGATCATGTGGCTTATAAGTGGCTGAAACTGAAGTTATCCAAAAATCAAATCATAAAATAAGTTGAGACAGAGTCTGTTTTACTAGAGAGATCAGAACATCTTTCTGCCTGTGATATCTTTTTGAAGAGAAACTTGAGGAGTTAATAGAATGTCAAGGCAGGCTTGGGACAAGAGATTCCATAGAAAGATGGCAGCACAAGGAAAAACTGAGCAGATGGGAAAGTGCATCACCTTCCTGGTAGACTTTGTGCCTCCTTTTACTGGTTTGGTTGTTGATTTCACCCCTCCTTGCTTTTACACATGCTGATCTTTCTGCCTGAAACAACCATTCATTCATTCATTCATTCATTCATTCTACATATATTTATTGAGAAGCTGGTGGTCCTTTCCCTTATCTTTTTGACAGAAACATAAATCTTCAAGATTCCACAGAGTAGGGCTTAAACTCTTTGAAGCTTTGTTGACTTCTCTGAGCAAAGATGAATTCTTGTACCTTTCTGCTCCAGGATGCCTGGTACTTATGCCTGTTTTAGTTTTGGTGACGTTTGTGTATCACAGTCCCTTACATGAGTGATACCTCTGTTAGACTGAGCTTCTTTGAGGACAGGAACCCGCCTTTGACTGTGTGCTCTGGGCCAGCATGGTTACATGGCAAATGTCTATTAACGTGAATGAGCTTGTATTTGTACCTGGCCCATGGTAGATTCTTAGTAAATATTTGCTGCAATAAAATGGCAAATATTATTAATAAATTTAATTATGTTTATACATAACCAACTTTTGTGATCCTGCAATCTCCCATTGAATGTGTCTTGGAGACGAGGGGCTGGAAAGGGTGTAGAGGCTGGTGGCAAGGTATAGATCGATGGTATAAAAGTGTTAGGAAAAATTCTCATTTTCTATGTACAGTTTCATGAACTCTGTTTTACAAAGATAACTTTCTGTTTTTCTTAGCTGTAGCCTTAGGTTCACTAGATAAAGCACTTTTATTTGGGCCATTTCCTTTTTTAAAAAATTGTTAGCTTTTATATAAATAAAACAGGTATCTTTGGATTAAGGTGATAATTTCCTCATATTTAAGCCTTACTACAATTTTATGTGGCTTTTATATTAGACTTTCTGTTAAGATTAACTAGATTGTCATGATTAAGAGGTTTGGGTCATTATTCTTTTTGAACTGAAACTGGCATTCGAGGTCAGTTGTTTTTGATTAAACTGTTCTAGATCTGTGGAATGAACTAAGAATTGGCTGCACAATTCGAAGATCCATTTCTAGTAGCTTTGTCTTAATATTTTTCAAAAATGGAAATTGGTGAAATGTTTACTTTTAATAGAACTCAGATATAACTATCAGATAGTCACAGGAAAGGACTATTGTCAAAGAAAATATTGTACATTGGTTTAAATGAGATTGAGTGAGATATTATATGTAAAGCAGTAGCTAAGGGCATAGTATATAGTAAATACTACCTGTAAGTGAAATGGTTGTATTTTCAATATTATCATTATTCTCTTCCTAGCATGGTGTCTGAATTTAATAGAACCTGATATTATTCAATGCATATTTATTAGTGAATGAATGAATGAAATCTGTGTCTGCCTGTTTCTTTTCTTTTTCTCTGCACATTAAATGCTTGTCTGCTTTTATTGCTGGAGGAAACGCTGACATAAAAATTGGCCTGCTGGAAAGTTTCTCAGCCCCATTTGTCACCTTACCCTTGGAGCCCAATTGTATGTCAACTCCATGTCCCCTCTGATGCCTGCAAGTGAGGGACAGACGACAGGTCACTTCCATATGATCTGCTTTTGCTGCCAAGGTGCTGATCAAGCTTGGCTGATGGATGGGTGCTCTGTTGTTGGAAATGTCTCCATGGGGCTGATCAGGACATACCTTTGCTATATTTTCTGGTTAGCATCTATTGCTTGAAAATAAGAAACGTAGAAAACAGAGTTGGGTTTTGTCCCTCTTATAAATCTAGACTTTTTTTTTTTCTTTGAGACGGATTCTCGCTCTGTCTTCCAGGCTGGAGTGCAGTGGCATGATCCTCGGCTCACTGCAATCTCCGCCTCCTGGTTCAAGCAATTCTCCTGCCTCAGCCTCCCTAGTATCTGGGATTACAGGCGCCCACCACCTTGCCCAGCTAATTTTCTTGTATTTTAGTAGAGACGGGGTTTCACCGTGTTGCCCAGGCTAGTCGCAGACTCCTGAGCTCAGGTGATCTGCCCGCCTTCGCCTCCCAAAGTGCTGAGATTACAGGCGTGAGCCATCACAGCTGGCCAAATCTAGACTTTTAAAGCTCTATTTTGAGTAACCTAGTTTGAGAAGCAGTTTTGCTGCTAAGCCTGTCATTCCCTTTGCTGCATAAGCCCTGTCAATGCCATCATGAAACCATGGGATCAGTTTTTGCATGAAGACCAAGATTTTGTTTGTATGTTTGCCAATTCACTTTTTAAAAACTTCTGTTTAACTTCATAACAGTGATGATTCTGAATGTTCTCTTGCCTTGATTTGCAGCACTCAAAAAGAGTGAGTGAAATGTGCAGCTCAGAGTGTCGTTTCTGAAGGGAGGAGTCTTTCTCTTGGAGAAGAGTCCTCAATGAGCCTGGCCGAGGCCCGGGATCTGTGTGAAGTGGACTAAGGATTAAGTAGGATGTCAACTGAGACAGAACTTCAAGTAGCTGTGAAAACCAGCGCCAAGAAAGACTCCAGAAAGAAAGGTAGGGCTGAATTTGACCTTTTTATAATGGCTAGTTTTCTGCACAGGAATGAGTTTTTAAATCCCTGGAATGATAAAAAGAAGTATCTTTATGATCGCATATATTTTTAAATATTTATTTTGTGTGTTTTGTATTCATAATATAATAATGGAATGGTGCTTCATTATTCTCCAGATAAAATCCAAAACGTTTCTCATAATATACAATGTTTTTTTGCATATGCCTTCTATCCATCCCTCCAGCAACATCTCTGCCTAACCACCCCCCTTCCCTGTCCCTGTTTACCCTCCAGATGTTCTGTAGTGCATCTTTGCCTGTACCAGTGGTTGTCAGACTCTGACAGGACCAGAATCACTGGGAGGGCTTGTTAAAGCAGTCGTTGCTAATGTCATCCCAAAGTTTCTGATTCAGTAAGTCTGGGGTGGGACCCAAGACTTTGCATTTAAAACAGGTTCCCAGGTGATGCCAGTCCTGCTGGTCCAGAGACCCTACTTTAAGAATCACTGGAGTTTTAATCCAGCCTGAAGTCCTTTTTTTGTTGATCTTTTTTTTTTTTTTTTTTTTTTTAACTGACTTCTGCTTATTCATAAGGTTTGAGTTTAGGAAAGCCTCCTGGGGGAGCTTTTTCTTACTCCCAAAATTGACGTAAATGTTTTTGTTTTTTTTTTTTCATTAGCACTTGGTTAGTGTTTCACTTTATTAAAAATATCCTGTGTAAACTCCTTTGGAACTTATGTTTTGTTCACATTTTAAGTCTCAGCACTTAGAAAGTGGTTGACAGAGAGGAGCCAGAGATACCTGGCAATGAAGATTTGCAGGCATAGTGTGATAATAAAGTAATTCTGTCACTTTTCGTGTTTTCTGGAGAATTTAGTCCCATGGTTTCAGGACCATGTTTTTCAGTAAGTTTCACCCCCTGTCAATTAAATATGAACAACTTCTTTCTCTCTGTGTGTGTGTATTTTCTCCCTGTGGTTTCTGCTCGCTCTCCCTTATTTTCTCAGCTGCATGGGAGGGGATTGACAGAGCTCTCTTTCAGGTCTTGAAATCTGTCAATGTAGGCTTACAAACTGTGATGCCCTTGACTTTTTTGTATAGGCAGTGATTTGTTTGAGACATCGCTGTGCCTGCCCACTTATGTTTTGTGATGGCATTTGGCTGACACTATGTAAGAAGTAGGGGACATAACTGTAATATACATACAGCTCTTGGACAGCCAAAAGCCCAGGAAGGACAATATATTTTGCTTTTGATGTTTATTTGAAACACAAATATTTTGGAGACAGTCTATTTTATTCCCTAAAAATTAATATAAACTTGTTTTCTATGCATCATGGTCTAAGAATAACAGGAAGTAAGCAGATGAAAGAACATGTCTTGGTAGGCTGCTACGTGGAAAAAGAAAAAAAAAAAAAAGGTCGCAGAGCCCAGTATGTACTAGAATCCAAATGCCTTTTCAGTGGAAACTGACAAGTTATATTTCACCTCAAATTTAACCTTTCCACTAAACCTGCACCCTTGAATGCTTAATGCATTAAAAATGTTATCTTAGCGCATATTTTTTCATTCTTAATTTTAACATGCAAAACCAGAAGCCTTCTGCAGAGAGGATTGAGGTTTTTAGGACATTGGCTCAGTTGGGGACTTGGGATGACAGTATGAAGATGACCCTTTTAGAACTTCCTCATCCTCATGTCCAAAAAAACTCTGAAATCAGCATAATACATATGTGATGAGTGTCTTCCATGGAGTGGCGAGTACTATGGAATTTGGGTAGACAGAGATGGATTCAAATTCTAGCTATACCGACTTTCTCACTGTGTGACCTTTGAAAGCTCTTTAACCTGAGCCTCATTTTCCTCTCGTATAAAATGGGTATATAACATTATAGACTTCAAAGGCTCACTATAAAGATTAATGAAAATAAGGCAAATAAAATAGTTAACATATTACTTGGCATACATTAAATGCTCAGCAAAGGTTAGCGTGGTTGTCCTCCTCCTTTTCCTCCCTTTTCCTTTTCTGCTTCTCTTCCCCTTCCTTCCCTGTCATCTTTCTCCTTTTCCCTCCTCCCCTCTTTTCTCTTTTTCTCTTCCTTCATCATTCATCTTGTCTTAATCAGCTTGAGCTGCCGTAAGAAAATACCATAGACTTGGCAGCTTAAGCAACAGAAACGTGTTTTTCACGGAACTGGAGGCTAGAAGATCAAAGTGCCAGCCAGTTGGTTCCTGGTGAGGGTTCTCTTCCTGGCTTGTAGATGGTCATTTTCTCACCATATCCTCACATGGTAGAAAGAGAGAAAACTCTTTCTTTCTCTCCTTTCCCACCACAAGAGGCCCACGCTCACGATGTTATGTAACCATAAGTACCTTCCAAAGGTCTCATTTCCAAACATCATGCCACAGGGTTTTAGGGCTTCAACATACGGATTTTGGTGAAACACAGATATCCATAACATACCACATCTCCTCCTCCTCCTCCTCCCCCGTCATCCCCCGTCCACTTCGCCTGTATCATCATCATCACCACCATTACAGAATGTTGCTACTTATCCCATTTGTTTGTAAGTATGCAACAGTCATAATTATTATTCTCAATACATTTGTCTGGGCCAAGGTACATATATGTTAAAAAGAGAGAGGGAGGCTGTGTGTAATGACTCACACCTATAGTGCCTGCACTTTGGCAGGCTGAGGCAGGAGGATCACTTGAGGTCAGGAGTTCAAGATCAGCCTGGTCAACATGGTGAAACCTTGTTTCCACTAATAATACAAAAATTAGCTGGGCATGGTGGTGTGCATCTGTAATCCCAGCTACTCTGGGGGCTGAGGCAGGAGAATTGCTTGAACCTGAGAGGCACAGATTGAGGTGAGCTGAGATCACATCATTATTGCACTGTAGCCTGGGTGACAGAGCAAGACTCTATCTCTAAAAAAAAAAAAAAAAAAAAAAAGAGATCCCTTGGATATATACATGCACACATATGTTTATTTCAGCACTATTCACAAGAGCAAAAACCTGGAACTGACCCAAATGCCTATCAATATTAGACTGAATAAAGAAAAAATGGTACATATGCACCATGGAATACTATGCAGCCATAAAAAGAATGAGTTCATGTCCTTTGTAGGGACACGGATGAAGCTGGAAACCATCATTCTTAGCAAACTAACACAGGAACAGAAAACTAAACCCCACATGTTCTCACTCATAAATGGGAGTTAAACAATGAGAACATATGAGAACATTATACACTGGGGTCTATCCAGGGTGAGAGGCAAGGGGAGAGATAGCATTAGGAGAAATAACCTAATGTAGATGATGGGTTGATGGGTGCAGCAAACCACCATGACACATGTATACCTATGTAACAATCCTGCACATTCTGCACATGTATCCCAGAACTTAAAGTATATATATTTAAAAAACAAACAAACAAACAAACAAAAAAAAAGAGAGAGAGAGAGAGAGAAAACATGCAGGTAACAGTATTAATTCATTTCTTGTTCTTCAGTTTTAACAATGTAATAATATTTCATTAAACAAATGTTGCTAACTTGGACGAAATTAATACAATTTTAAAAGGAATAAACAATTTATATACTGATATTGAATCTTGAATGTAACTCAGGCTGTTAGGCTCTTTTATTACTAATACTTTCTCCATCTCTGCTTGGATTTTCTATGGAGACAGCATATAACCTGCAAATAAGTTTCTCATAAATCCTTTAGTACTTCTTTTTCTGTCTAATTGGCTGGATCTGTCATTGTAAAATTCAGTGATAGTAAATGTCCTTATCTTGTTCCTGATTGCTTCTAGATTACATTTAAGTGATGTTTAAGTTTTTACTAAAGATATTTTTCTGGCCGGGCATGGTGGCTTATGCCTATAGTCTCTGCACTTTGGGAGGCTAAGGTGGGCGGATCACTTGCACTCACAAGTTTGAGACCAGCCTGGGCAATATGGTGAAACTCTGTCTCTACAAAAAGTAGCCAGGCATGGTGCATGTGCCTGTAGTCCCAGCTACTCAGGAGGCTGAGTTGGGAGGATGTCTTGAGCCTGTGAAGTGGAGGTTGCAGTGGGCCAAGATTGCACCACAGCACTCCAGCCTGGGCAAAAGAGCCAGACCTTGTCTCCAAAAAAAAAAAAAAAAAAAAAAAAAAAAAGGATACTTTATTAGTTCCACTTTATGTATTATTTTCTAGGAAGTATTTTTTAATTCTAAATTTGCATGTTCAATTTTATCATATGCTTTTTCTGTATTCAATGATTATACATATTTTTTCCTCTTATAATTTATACTGTAGTAGATTTAATTGACAGATTTTAAAATCTTCATTTCTAGAGTAAACCTTACTTGGTCATAATGGTATTATTTTCTACACCCTGGTGGATTTGATCTGTTAGGTTAAGGAATGGTTTTTGTATCTGTATTTATCAACAAGATTAGTGTATAACTTTCTTTTCTTGGACAACCCTTGTGTCTGGTATTAGTTAATGCTATATCCTTATATAATGATTTTTATCAGTTAATGTCATATCCTCATAAAATGATTTTTGGTAGGAATGAAACACTGAATAATATTTAGGACTCTTTCTGGAGAACGTTTTTACAGTTATTTAACTTCTTAAAAGCTATATGTGCTTATTGCTGAAAATACAAAAGACAGGATAATCATGCATCCCATAAAACAAAAATAACTACTATTAACATTTTAAGTTACATCCTTTGGACTGACCTTCCAGCATAAAATGTGGTTGACATCATACTCTTCATACAACTTTATGTCCTATTTTGTTATTTGACATAAGTGCATTTTCCATATTACCTGATATTACAAAATAGAAGTGTTTTTTTCCCTCCTCTTGTTAAGATTTAGATGGCTCCTGGGACAGATATTTTAATTCCTGAAAAAGAATACCTGACAATGCGGGTCATCTATTGTGGGAAAAATTGGCATAAAGAAAGTTAAGAGGCCTTTTAGAGTTCCTCATGAAC